ATAAAATATCTTCCTCATATTTGACCTATGCCTCCACATTCAGGGAATTTTTCAACTGAAACACTTGTCGGTTATGATTCAGGTTCTTGTGTCGATTTGGGAATTGTGGCTTTCAGCCGAAGTGCACAGACTCAACTCGTGACCAGTTTGTATCATCCCTGCTAGAATGAGTGACTCCTGGAATATACGCATTTGCGTAGCAAAACAGCACAGTGGCATTGAGTCAACACAGACATTTGCCAACAGTGGGGTGTTTAGAGCAGTTTCCCGCTAGTGCATATGGTTCAGGTGCAAGGCAACTGTAGACTTTGAGCTTCCAGCTCTGAGTGTGACGAAACCCACAGTCATCTCTGTAAGACGTGTGTCTCTGCCAGGTAAGTGAGAGAGGGGGTAAATTGGGCCCCAGGGGAGTCCCTTGTAATAGTAGTCCGGTGGAGATTCTACCCCCTCACTACAAATGCATCAGAACCTTAGGGCGCCCACTCGGCATGCTTTTCACAAAAGATGGGTCCCCGGACTCTTTCTGCGGTCTGGGTGGGTAGAGATGAGCAGCATTGTAAAATGTCATCACTATATGTACATGTTTTCTAAAGTAATATTCTCAGCAGCTGATGTGATTTGTGATAAATGCGATCAGAGGAAGTTGGTTTAGATGCTTGTTTTTTTTTTTTCCCCCTCATCAATTTAAAAACAAGTGATTAAATAATTTTTCCTGGTCTGGAAACTGTCAGCAAGTTGGCCTCCAATATGTTATTGTTGTGTTCACTGTTTTTAAAAGGTGTGGGGAAATGTAGAGGATGGAGACTTCTCAGCTGAGCTGGTGACACACAGCTCAGAGTTCTTTGAAGTGGCATGCCATCCTGATTCTCACACACAAACACACATCCTCTTGTACGTGCCGGCTCTGACTTGACCTGCTGCAGACAGTAGAGCCGTAGATGCGGCACATTACCTCAGCAAGAAACCCGCAGCACAGAGTAAACCAGACATGAAATGGAATCCTTGTGTTGTCAGTTTAGCATGTACAGTGGCTTATCTTTCACATGTGATGGAAATCCACATCATCTTACTGTCAAGAACAGCCCAGCGTGCATGTTGTGGTTAGTGCGGTTGCTTTGATTACGTTTTTCTGATAAATTTTCTTTAGGTCCCTGTAACAAAGGTGTGCTTCTTGGAGAAACATGTTTTGATCTTTAAAGCTGAGTTGCACAAGGAAGTGTCACTATACATTTAGTATAGTGCAAGTTATAAATACTGGAAAGCAAAGTGAGGGGCCTTTCTAGAAATAATACAATGGATGGCTTTTGATTTCTCAGTTGCTACCCAAAGAACTTGTTTTTGTTTTTAAGAAAAGCTGCTTTTTTTTCTTGGTTTCAAGCTTTAATAAATAAATTGTTTTGGAGAACGGCTTATGAATTCAGGCTCTCAGTGGCTCCTCTGTAATTCTCAGACTATGAGACCTGAGCTGATGGCAGTCAGACCACCTGTTGCTGGATTGTTTTTCAAGATTGTTCTCTGTGAATGAGGCTGCATGTTTAGGCTCATTGTGGTGCTACAAAATGAACTTGGCAGCTATCAGATGCCTCATTAATATTAATAATAGTAATAATAAGTCATAGTTATTGTTATTATTAACAGTTTTTGTGCTAATATTCTGCCATGAAACACTGTGATATTCATCTTATATGCAGTTATACAGTGAGTAGTTATAGTAGAATAGGATCGTACTGTGACAACCACATGCTTTGTGTGGCACTTTTGTCATTTGCAGAACATAACCTAATATGGTTATGTCCTTTTTCAGCAAGTACCCAGTTGTGCAATGTGTGGGGAACAGCTCTTAATATTGTGTTTGTGAAATCCGTCACAACATGATCAGAGCTCACACCGATGTCTTTCCAGTGAACGATGCAGAAAGGTTGCCAGGAAGAATATCCATACTGGGCCTACAAAGTGACATGTCATGCACTGTGTCCTTTTACTAATCGTGTCATGCCAAGAAGGTGGACTAATAACTCATAATTGAGTCTGTCACGTTCTATCTAAAGGGTATCAGTCTCTGAAGGATCTAAATTTGGTGCATGTGTGTGTAGAAATATTCTTTGCAAACATGCTGAATCTTAATTATTCTAAAAATAATGAATCATAGCTGGTCTATTTGACATCTGACTGCTGTTTCCTTTTCTTCTTGAAGATGCTTTTGTTTCCTCACATAGCTTCATGATTTCTAAACAGACTTTGTTTTTCTATTAATTTAAAAAAAAAAGAAAGAAAAAAGTACGAGTTTGGTGTGGAATAATCTGACTGGCCTGTACAGAACCCTGACCTCCCTTAACCCCATCAAAATCACCTCTGAGAAAATATTGAACAGAAATTGCAAGTCAAGCCTCTTGTCCAACACCACTGTTGGGTGGTGGGCAATCATTCCCAGAGACACATTCCAAAATGTCATAGAAAGCCTTCCCAGAAGAGCGGAAGACATCATAGTTGCTCTGCCTACGGATGTAGGATGGGACGTCATAAAACCTCCTGTAGGTGCAATGTGAAGGTGACCGTTTTTGTCCATATAGTGAAGAGGCAAACTGACTGAACTTTCAATATGCACTTGCAGCCTTAGAACCAGTCTTATAAGAGGTACCTTCCCTTTGATTAATTGCCTCGTGATCGAGTACCGAAACCTCTGAATAAATGTTTTTTTTTCCAGGGTGCGGAACACATATGCGTCTGTGTGCACTGTTTGTTACTTTCCTATACACGTGATCTATGAAACAGATGAGTGAAAGACTTTTTTTGTTTATATTTCCGTCAACAAAATCAGACACGCATGCATCTGTGAAAATGTTCTATTCACTGAAAACACCATGAAACGTAATTTTCAAAGATTCCACACAGCCATATTTCATTTGCACAAGGAACAGATATTTTAATTGCTTTCTTTATTGTGACCTGCTGTTCGTGAGCATGCCTGTACAATATTCAGAGATGTTGCATTCTGCTCAATGCCATGCTTTAGGTGGATGTGAATATTTAGTGTAAGAGTACCAGCGTGAAACTTGTGAAAATGATTCTTCAGTTTTTCTCAGCCTGCTTTGAAGCTACTGCTGTCTGAAAGTCCACTCATTACATAACAACCAGATGTGATCTTAATCGGTTTACGTGGAACCGATTCCAGAGCTCTTTGGGGGGCGGGGGGGTGACTGAAGTGTGAATCTGCAAGCATCTTTAAAAAAATCGAAATAAAAAAAAGCACTGACCACAACACTGCTGACAAACTGCTTTTTGCACAGGTCAAAAAAATAGCAATGCCCTGTTAGAACAAAGTTATGAATGATATCTTTTTGCAAGGTACTGTCATTGCTGAATTGATACTATTCATCCCACGTTGAGTCAGCAAGTGACTGACGAAATGTCCTGGAGTAGTTTCAGTGCAGCCCTGAGTCAGGTCTGGAACCTCACTGATGCTTGTGAGTTTGTTTTGTAGATGCTTCACTTTCAAAAAAACAGTCAAAGATACTACAGTACACAGGTGTCTGTGTACAGTTTCTTCTTCTTTATTTGCAGTTCAGATCATTGACTGTTGTATGATGCTTTCACCACACCCTCCCCAAAATAAATCTGCAATTGCTCCCCATGACTTTGTGCTCCCTTCATTGTGACAGAGTGGTTTTAGTTTGCCTGTCAGTTTTGTTCTAAATGTGTGTGACTAAGTGAGATTACTTTTGCATGCATGCAAGTGTGCATATGCCATTGAGGGTGAGGCTGGCTAGTTGGAGTTACGGTAAGTTAAGATACAGCAGTGTTGCTGCTGGTAAGTGATGTATATGGGTCACGTTTGAGGTTAGTGCATCAGCATGTTGACAGTGCAGTCTATGGTTCCTCACGTATACTGCAGGATGTGATGTATTCAGTGCTCTATTCCTTTTAATGGCAAACATAGCAGCTTTTACATATCGTGAAAGCAACTCTAAAGAGACATCTGTCATATTATTAAAGTAATTTATTTCAATTTAACAGAAGGCACAATAAATATAAAAAACACAGAATGAAACATCTTTATAAATAATTATAACAAATGTAATATTATTATAACAAAGTGTCCTTTTTTAAAAACAGCATGATAATGATTCAAAAGGATCCTAACAGAAAATTGTCCATAGGACAAATTGGTTATAACGTCTCATAAAAAATAAAGACAACAGTTCAGTAAGTCCCATACAAAAAATTCACATCTGTCAATACTTGTAAAAGTTCTGTTTCTCCCAGAGATGAGCTTCATATCTTGATTTAGGTCAGGAGGTCTTCCAGCAGAGGTTATTGTCTGTGTCGTTTAGAAGCCAGGTATGTCTCAAAGTAGTTAAACAATATGTCCAGCTCTCCCATGGCCTTGTATAGACCTCTGCTCTCCATCTGCAGATGAGCAAAGACAGGTTCACTTAGTACAAATGGCGAAAAGTATAGGCATGCATGTTCTTTTGAAATCAGGATTACAAATATTGCCTCACTGCATGTGTGACTTTGACACTCACCTGAGTGTAAGTAGAGTTCAGATTGTTGATGTCGAAATATTTTTTGCAGGAGAAGTAGTTCCTCTGTAAGAAGAACAAAAGAGACATGATGTTACTACTGGTGATCTGCATGCGGACAACATTAAGAAAAGAACCTTAAGGCGGGAACATTCAGTCTCTTCTCTTCCCTTTTTGCATAATCTGGAAGATGCACACTTGTGCATTTCAAAAATCACATGACTAATGCAGTATTAAGACTCGTTCTGTGAGCACTCGCTTAAACCCGAATCAACCTGTCGCAGGGTACTTGGAAATT